AGAGAGAGAGAGGAGAGAGAGAGAGAGAGAGTTTTTTTGAGAGGGTCTTGCTATGTCACTCTGGCTGGCCTTAAAATTGAAGTAATCCTCCTGCCTTAGTCTCCTGAGTGCTGTTATTATGGGCAAGCACCATCATGCCCAGCTTAAAGCAAAATTTTTAAAAATACTATTACAAGTGTCAATTATGCCTTTAGGCATTTACTTACTTTTATATCAACCTTCCCTCACCCCTCCAATCCCCTCCCCAAAGTTTTCAGAATCCTAAATGCTTTTAATGAACACCTAAAGGGGAGAAACCTTTAGAGATGTAGTGACATGTGGGTAGATTTACTGATCTTTACCCTGAAAGTAACCTGTTCCACGATGTTTCACACACAATCTCTTTTCCATTGTCACTATTATTTCTCACCTGCCCTAAATGGACCAATGTCTGTGATCCTCCGCCCCCCGCCCTCCAATCTGCCTTATACACTGATTACAGAACCATCTTCCCAGAGCACTAGCCTGATCAAAAAGCATGCTACAATCACATTTCTTTTGAAACAGCAATTTTCACCAGTCCCTTGCAGCCTTTAGTTTTAAGTTTGTATATGTAAGACCCTTTACAATTTCCACCATAAACCCTACTTTTGGCTGTGTATCCCTAGGCAGATGCACCTCATCACTTTTCATAGCTTAGTCTTACTGTATACAATTAATATTTGCTAATTTAAGAAGGGGAACTACTGAAGGAAGAAAAATGGAAATTACTTACTAATTCTCTCTTTGCTTCTTCAATTTTCACTTGAGCCAGAGATGGATTCTTATAGAGAAAATTTAGATAAGGCAAGTTGGTCACGGTTTGAATCTGCAATGAGCTCATGTTCACATGCATGTTCCCCAGCTACTATGGGAGGCTATGGAACTTCAGGAGGAAGAGGTGACTAGGGACAAGCCTTTGAAGGTTACAGTCTGGTCTCTCCTTCTGCCTTGTTCTCTGCTTCGGGGTCTGGCGTGGCATGACCTGTTTCAACATGCCTTCCCCACCACGATGAGCTGACACTGAAACTGTGAGCCAAAATAAATCTTTGCTCCCTTAAGTTGTTTCTGTGAGATGTGGTCACAGTGGTGCAAAACAAATAACAAAAGCTTACAGTGCTTCAAGTCATTCAAAGAGGAAAGCCACTCCACAACACAATCCCTTTTAAAAGGCAAGGCAAATTAGAAGGCGTAACCAACATATACATAATACTGAAATTCACCATTCACCAATAGCTATTTATTTGGGGAGGTTTTTTTTTTTTTGGTTTTTTTTTTTTTTTTTTTTTTTGGTCTTTTTGAGACAGGGTCTCCCTCTAGCCCCAGCTGTCCTGGAACTCACTATGCCACCAAAGTTCAACTCGGTGACCCGGTGAGTTTTATCGGGGTTACTTAGAGGAGAAGAAATGACTCAAAGACAGCTGCATCACCAAAAGCCCACCCCAACAGGGATGACGTGGTTGTGAGAGCTGGAACCCTGGAGCAGACCGCGCAACTTGCAAGCAACTCAGGTCAGGTGGGAGAGCATCTCCCCCAGGCAGCGCGGGTAGTCTGAGCCTCTTCCAAGCCACTTGGCTTGTCTAAGACTGTCCCTCGGCTGACTTTACTACTCATTATAGATGAGATATATCTAGGAGGGATCTAGTTAATCCGGTCACTTTCAGGGACTTCCTGAAACTGCAGAAGCTGCTTACTAAAATGAACAAACTTCCCTGTGGGATGGAAGTTGCCACCTCCCTTTAGAACATTTTGTGTTCTAACCAGTTTCCCTCCAAGATGAAAGGTCTTTTTAATATTGTATTTCTTATTTTTATTTTATGTGGGGTTTTTTTGTTTTTTTTTTTTTTGGTCTTTTTTGAGACAGGGTCTCCCTGTAGCTCCAGCTGTTCTGGAACTCACTATGTAGACCAGGCTGGCCTTGAACTGACAGAGATCCACCTGCCTCTGCCTCCCGAGTGCTGGGATTAAAGGTGTGCGCCACCACGCCCGGCTGGGAGTTATTTTTTTATGTGTATGAATGTATTACCTGCACATAGGTAGGTACACCATGGTGTGCAGTGCCCACAGAAGTCAGAAGAGGGCATCGCATCCCCCTGAGCTGAAGTTATGCACTATCAACCACCATGTGGGCGCTAAGAATCAAACAGGGTCCTCTGCAAGAGCAGTCAATGCTCTTAACCATTGAACCATCTCTCTAGTCCTCCTCTTTTGAGATAGGATTTCATTCTGAAGCCTAGGCTAGTCTAGAACTCACTATATAGCCCAGGCTAGGCTTGAACTCATAGTAAGCCGCCTGCTTCAGTCTCCTAAGTGCTCAGATTACAGGTATGAGTTACATACAACTCTAAGCTCTGCCATTTATTTTAAACCCTTAAACACCAATCTACTATTTTATGATTATTTAGTGCCCTTAGGGAAAAGTTAGAGAAAAACAACTCAAAGAAAACCCCCATAAGAATATTTACCGGCATTAAATCTAAATAGGATTCCAATTTTTTCTTCAAAGGAATAGTCTGCTGTTTTAACTCTGCCAGCTTCTAGAAGTGAAAAATAGAGTTAAAATGAAAATAGAAATATTCACAATGAAACTAAATACTGCCCATTACTGAAATAAAACACAATAAACATTAACATTCAGGTATTTGCTTCTAGGCTTCTAGCCTATAGCTCTTGACAGCTGGCAAGCTTTCCACTGTTGAGCTACACCCTCTAACCCAAGGATAATTTAAATAAGGAATCAAACTTCAAATAGATCACCTCATTTTTAATGGAAATCATACTTCCCAAGAAGTTTAAAATAAGAAATCTGGGGCTGGAGCAATGACTCAGTGGTTTAAAAAAAAAAAAAAAATTATTGATAATATAAAGCCCCTATTTCTCCTTCTTCACACTAAAATAGATAAAAAATCCCTATACAACCTAAAAACTAAGAGTTGGATCTGGAAACTACAGGGTTTTTGTTGCTGTTGTTGTTAGACAGGATCGCTAGCCCAGACTGACTATGATCTTGCAAATTATATAGCCAAGGACGACCATGAACTTCAGATTTTTCTGCTTCTACTTCATGAGTGCTAGTCATACTGGAATGTGCCACCAAGCCTGGTTTATGTAGTACTGGGGATCAAACTCAAGGGTTTTATGCATGCTAGGCAAGGACTCTATCAACCAAGCCACATCCACAACCCATGAAACCTGCACTGTGTACACCTATGCAGGTCCACAGACACTGTGCATTGTGCATGTGGAAGCTGCAGTTGGTGTTTGGTGTCTTCCTCAGTCACCTCTACCTTGTTTTTTGTTTTTGTTTTGTTTGGTCTTTTTGAGACAGGGTCTCCCTGTAGCCCCAGCTGGCCTGAAATTCACTATGTAGACCAGGATGGCCTTGAACTCACAGAGATCTGCCTGCCTCTGCCTCCCAAGCTCTGGGATTAAAGGTGTGCACCACCACACCTGGCTCTACCCTGTTTTTTGAGACAAGGTCTTTCACTAAATCTAGAGCTCACTGATTGGCTAGGCTGGCTGGCCTGCAAGCCCTGAGGACCATCTGTCTCTGTCCCTAGTGTTGGGGTTACGGACATATGCTGTCACACCTGGCTTTTACGGAGGTGTTCTGAATCTGAACTCAGATCCTTGCACTTACACAGCAGGGACTTTACATTGTTTCTACTGTACACTGAAAGAGAACAAAGAGGACCACCTAAATGATTAGTACAGAGACGATGACATTTGTTCAGTAACTAAGTCAACAATATACTACTGACTCCAGCAAGGGTCTAGCCTACAATACCACAGAAATTTCAAACAAGTGAGGGATACACAGAGCTAAATAGGTAATAAATACATAAACACTGGCGAACATAAGTATAAAGGTATGGCTGGTGAAGAAGCTCAGTGGTAGATCACTTGACTAGTATGTATGAAGTCTTGGGTTCAATCCTCAACACCACAAAGAAAAGAAATCAATAGTGAATATAAAGCCTAAAAGAAAGAAATGAAAAGGAAGTGTGCTGGATAGCTTTAGTGTCAACTTGACAGACCTGCATTGAGGGAGCCTCAATTGGGAAATTGTCTCCATGTCCTGTGGCCATGTCTGGGGCATCTTCTTGATTGTTGAGTGATGTGGGAGGGCCGAGCCCATTGTGGGTGATGCCACCCCTGGGCAGGAAAAAAGCACGTTGAGGGACTAGAGAGATGGCTCAGCAGTTAAGAACACTGGTTGTTCTTGCAGAAGACCGGGGTTCAAATCCCAGCACCCACATGACCCACATGGCAGCTAACAACTGTCTGTAAGTCCAGTCCCAGGGGATCCAGCAGCCTCTTCTGACCTCAGCTGCCATTGCACAACACGGGTGAGCTTACCTACATGCAGGCAATACACGCATACGCATAAAATAAAAAATATAATAAGTTTTAAAAAAAAAGAAAGCAGGCTGAGCAGGGACCAGGGAGCAAGCCAGTAAGCAGTGTTCTTCCATGGCCTGGGCTCCAGCTCCTGCCTCCAGGTTCCTGCCCTAAGTTCCTATCTTGGGCTCCCTGATGAACTCTGACCAGGGAGACATAAGACAAATAAGTTGGTTTTGGTCAGACTATTTTGTCACAACAATGAAGAAACAAACTAGGACAGAAATATTGTGGACTAATATTTTAAACAAAGTCAGATTAGGTTCAAGGAAGTATTAAAGTTTCAATGTCCCCTCTAAAGCTCATGCTGAAATGTAACTGGCACTGTAACAGTATTCAGAGGGCTCTACTGAATGAATCAATGATCTTACAGTGGGAATGCACTCCTGATGAAAAGGCAGAGTTTGGCAATTTCCTGCCTCTAGCTGACTTGTGCTCCCTTCCCCTTCCACCATCTTAGAACACTGCAGATGTAGCCCTTCAGAACCATGAACTAAATAAACTTCTACTTTGAATGTTTATAAACTACCCAATATGTATATGTGGTATTTTGTTATAGCAGCAGAGAATGGACTAAGACAACAAGCTTACATCCGATAGTGCCACTAGTGACTGATGAGACAGAGAAGCATCCATGCCTCTGGCTGAAAGTTGCTCCTACAATTACAAGAAAAGAAAGTTCAGTTGAAATTTATTTAGAAAGTGACCACCATAAAATATTTTCAACATATAATAACAAACAGTTATGAATCACAGATGAGAAATTATATATGCATCTAAGCTTATTTCCATTACATGTGAATCCTTTCTACACTCACATATGAGAAGACGGTAGAGAGAATAAGGATCTGAATGCCTGACTTTGAAACTGGAGCTGCTGCTCAGTAGTTACATAACTGTGTGCATAGTAACGATCTCTGTAGTTCCCTTCTACAATTCTGTCTACTAAAAGGACAAAAGTCAAAAGGCTAGCTGTATACAATCCTTCATACACACCTCTGCAGCTTTGATTCCAAATCTGAACTCCTCTGACTTTGCTTTTAGGAAGTCCATGTTCTGAAGACGATTGTCAACCTTGGCCCTTTCAGCAGACAAACGCAGCTCTGCCTTCTTGAGATCTCTTCCAAAAGTAAAATTAAAAGCATTTTCTTCTTCTTAGTAAATGATTATTTTAAAAACAAGAAAACAAAGTCCCTACTTTTTGGATTTAACTCTGGCTTAGCCAATAGGAGACAGGCTATTTGCCAACTATTCTACCATAAAGTTTACATCCCAGACTACAATGCATTCTTCCAGGTCATTTCCTCCTCATGCTGCCATGTGGGGTTTTTCTTAAGGAACATAAAGCAATATTAAGATTAACCTATATCAATTATTCTTGGACAAAGTAAACCTACTGTTCCAAAAAGTAATTCATTATATCCAAAGGCCAATTTAAAATACAGGTCCCACAGACCCCTCTACTAAATGCAACATGACACACTGTCTGGCATATATTGGAATATTTATTCCAATATTTGTTGAATAAATTTATATACCACCAAATTACTTTGCACTTACATAAACCCTAATTACTGGCCTTAATCTCTGGGATAATAAAGGCCTAAAGAAGGCTCACAACATCGAAGGGGTCCATCAGTTGTAGCAAGAAAGCAAACCAAAATATAACATGGCTTTAAATTGTGTGGTAATTTGTAAGTTAAAATTTCTGAAAATTATAAAAACCCACATTATTTATAAAGCAAGAACAAACACAAAAGTAATAAATTATACAGAGTAAAAGGTAAAAATATACACCTAACCACCTCACTAAGTTGCCCAAGTGGGCCTTGAGCTTGTGTTGCTCCTGCCTCAGCCTTCTGAGTAGCTGGGATTACAGGCCTGTGCCCCCATGTCTGGCTTGACAATGTCCTATTAATGTCTTTCTAATCAAAACCGCCAGCATTTCAACTCACTCTCGTAGACATTTTTCTAACACTAAAGTTGCAGTCAGGTTCTTTTCAAATTTTTCCAGTTCAAGCTTGATTTCTTCACTTTTGGATTTGGTCCGAAAAAGATCAGAAGTCAAATCATTCATTGCAGGAAGAAAACTGAAAGAAGAATCGGGGTATATAGATGAGTTAAGGACAATCATTTCCTAAAAATGATCTTATCTCTATATAAATTTTTATATAATCATGCTGTTCCATACATTTATACAATGTTTACATGTTGTTCCCATTTCCTGGAATGTCCTTTAACTAGCAAATTTGTCCTGAAAACCTTAGGTAAGATTTACCGTAGCCTGAATTCACTCCCGTTTTCTCTGTTCTCTAGCTCATAATGGTAGTTTTATCTTTCCTCCTTTTTAAAAAAAGATTTGTTTTTGTTTTATGTGTATGAGTATTTTGCCTGCATGTGTGTAAGTGTACTACGTCTAATTAGTACCCACAGAGGCCAGAATAGGGTGACAGAGCCCTTGGACTGGAGTTACAAATGGTTGTGGGCCACCATGTGGGTGCTGGGAACCGAACTCCAGTCCTCTGCATGAACAGCAAGTGCTCTTAACCAGTGCACCATCTCTCTGCTCCTCCTCCTCCCTCTCTGACTGAGTGGAGACTCACTGAGGGGCATTACTGTCCTATTCATCTCTGCTTCCCTAGTTTGTACACCTAGCCTCTAGCTGTATTTGGTATCTGCTGAACTGACTTGTGTTTACACATTGCTGCTGCCACAGAGCCTCTATGTTCTTACACCTAAAACACTGTTCTTCAAGTATATCTAGAAATCCCAAACCTTTCCATTAGCAGAACAGAACAGTTGTTCAGTTCCCTGATCATGATAAGTTGTAGTGCTACGTAAGAAATGATCACTGATGACAGTTATATGGGTTTGGGGTCAGATTGGTCAGAACCCCTCTGGAGAAGTTATTTAGTCTGTTATTGAGCCTCTTGAGCCTCAGTTTCCACTGAACGTTGTTGGAAGGATCATATCACTGTATAGGTGAAATGTCAAAACAGTAAGAGTCCCTAACCTTTTCAGTGTGGTACATGACAAAAATTTACCATACTCAACCAGATTGTTTATACCACTTGTATTGCTTGCTTGTGTGCGTGTGTGTGTGTGTACACACGGGGTTAGACAAACAGGGTTTCATGTATCCAGGTTGGCCTCGAACTCCCTAAGTAGCTAAGGATGACCTTGAATTTCTGATCCCCTCCACTTCCTGAGTGCTAGGACCCTAGGTATGGATCACATACCCAGTCTCCAGCCCTTTTTTTTCTTTTTCCTTTTTGAGATAGCATTTTGCTAAAGTTGCCCAGGCTGGTCTTGAACTCAGTATGTACCCTAGGCAGGTCTTGAACTCCTCCAGCCTCAGCGTCCCTAGTATTCAGGATTATAGGCACATGCCACCATGCCCAACTAGCCTACCACTTTTCTTATTGATTATAGGAAAAAATAAAAATGATAGCTAATCTCCAAAAATATATAGGTGCCAACTTTTACAACCAAACCTGGAAGAAAACTCTAAATATCAACCAGTATCAAATTTATCTGAATTAATCTACTAGCAAAGGCATCAATTAAAATTCAGTACTTTTGCACTGATTGCTAATTTTGTAGATAGAATTACTGTGAGAAACCAACAAGTTCTTAGGTCAAAGCCTTGCAGGGTAGCCTCCTAGGGAACATGAATCAATACCTTGTAAGTGAGGTGTCCTTCGTTTCTAGGGTTACCGCACTATCAACCAAAGCAGTCAAAAACCTGGAGCCCATATTAGACAGATTGGCAGGGGAAAAATTCACACTCTCCATGAGAAGGTCTTGAAGATGTTTAGCTGCAACAATAAAAGAATTTCATGGTGACTGTTCTGTCCTTTTTGGTTTTTAATCTTTCATTATCTTTACAGAGGTATAACTCATACCATACAATCTACAGATGATATTCAGAGTTGTATATTCATGAACTCAAACTATTTTTGAACATTTGATCACCTCCAAAAAAAACTCCACATCCTTTAGTCATTAACTTTCAATCTCCCAACCACAAAACCCTGACAATTACTTTCTATCGCTATTCACTTCCTTTTTTGTTGTTGTTGTTTTGGACAGGGTCTCCCTAGTCCCAGCCCATCTGGAAGTCACAATGTCGACTGGGTGGCCTAGATCACACAGCGATCCACCTGTCTCTGTCCCAAGGACTGTCACTTCCTATTCTGAACATTTCCTACAGAGGGCGTTGTGGTGGTTTGAATGAAAATGTCCTGTCCCCCACAGGCTCAAAGTATTTGGACATTTTGTCCCTAGCTGGTGGCACTGTTTGACTGTTTGGGGAAGTCTTAAGAGGTGTGGTCAATGGGGTACAGGCTTTGAGAGTTCTTAAGTCTTGCTGATTTCCAGTCATCGTTTCCTGTGCTTGCTTGAAGATATAACTGCTCAGCTTTCTGCTCCTGTCACCTCTGTCACCATGCCTCCCCCACCATTATGGACTCTAACCTCTGGAACCCTAAGCTCAAATACTCTTCCTTTTCATAAGTTGCCATGGCCACAGTATCTTATCATAGCAACAAAAAAGTAACTAATATAGGTATCGTAGACGGCTTCGTGACTGCTTCTCTCACTTAGCATGCTGGTTTTAAGGTTTACACTTGCTATACCATTATCAGTACTTCACTCTTCATGATGCAATAATATTCCAGACTGTGTGGATATATAGCTTATCATCCATTGAGGAACACTTGAATTGTTTTCACATTCTGATTATTTTGAAAACTGATGCTATAAAACTCATGGAAGTAGGTGGTTCATGACTGTAATCCCAATAATCCCAGCACTTGGGAGGCTGAGGCAGTTAGGACTGATAAGAGTTTGAGGCTAGCCTGGGCTACATAGTCACTTCCAGGCCAGCCAGAGTTGCAGTGAGACCTTGCCTAAAAACACCAAAAAAAAAAAAAAAAAAAAAAAAAGGGGGGGAAAATTAACATCTGTAACCCCCATACCTGGATGGTAGAGACAGAAGGATCATGCGTTTAAGGCCATCCTCAGCTATATATATAGTATAGTGTTCAACACTAGCTTGGAATATATGAGACCCTGTCTCAAACAAAAAAGGGGATGGGGAGAGTTAAGGATATAGTTCAATGATAAAGTGCTTGCCTAGTATACTGGGATCCCTAAACTGCATTCCCAATAGCACAAAACAAAAAAACCAAACACATGGGTCATGGGATTGAACTCAGGATGTCAGTCTTGGCTGCAAGTGCCTTTACCCATTAAGCCATCTTGCCAGCCCAGTATCTTTTTTTTTTTTTTAAGATTTAAAAATTTTTATGTGTGTCTGTGTGTACATGTGCAGGTGTGTACCCATGTGCATGTGAGTGGTCGTAGAAGCCAGAAGAGGGCATTGGATTTCTTGGAACAGGAATTATGACCTGCCCCAAATGGGTGCTGGGAACCAAATTCAGGTCCTTTGCAAGAGCAGCAAGTGCTCTTAACCACCCCAACATTTTTCTTTAAAAAGGAACTAAATGGAAATTTGGCAGTTGGAAAATACAATAACTAAAAATTTCACTTAAGGACAGAATGCTAGCCTAGCATGCATGAAGTCCTGGCCTCAGAGAATAGTCTATTTAAAGTAGCAGAAGGTGAGGCATGGTGGTGCATGCCTTTAATCGCAGCACTCAGGAGGCAGAGGTAGGCAGAGCCTGTTCTACACAGCGAATTTCAGGCCAGGTGGGGCTTCAGAGAGACCATATCTCAAAAAGTTTTTTTAAAAATTAAAATTAAACCAGGCATGGTGGTGCACGCCTTTAATCCCGGCACTCGGGAGGCAGAGGCAGGTGGATCTCTGTGAGTTCACGGCCAGAAGGCCGTCCTGGTCTACATAGGTAGTCCCAGGGCAGTGTGGGTTACGGGGAGATCCTGTTTCAAAAAGACCAAAAAAAAAAAAAAATTAAAATTAAACCAGGCATGGTGGTGCACGCCTTTAATCCCGGCACTCGGGAGGCAGAGGCAGGTGGATCTCTGTGAGTTCACGGCCAGAAGGCCGTCCTGGTCTACATAGGTAGTCCCAGGGCAGTGTGGGTTACGGGGAGATCCTGTTTCAAAAAGACCAAAAAAAAAAAAAAAGTAAAATTACAATGAAAAAATAAAGTGACAGAAGAATAAATGAACTTAGAAATGGATCAACATAGAATACAAGGGAGTCAACAGTTCTCAGTGGTATAGCCACATTGGTAAACTGTCCTTCTCAAGTAAAGAACACCCCACCTATACTCATGCAAGCAATCCTCATTAAATGCACTAGGATCCACAATGAAAACAGGAAAGGGACTTGCTGGAAAGGAGAGGAAAGGGTATAGGAGGCTGGTGGAAGGGTATAATCAAAGTACATTACATATGTATGTGTGTGACATTACGAAAAAACAAATTATAAATCAAAAAATAATTTTTAAAAAAAATGGAGATTACAGGAGCCAAAGATGAGAGAGAAGAGCTAGGCATAAGAGGCACATGCCTGTAATACCAGCACTCTGGAGGCTGGGGCAAGAGGATCACAAGTTCAACACCACCCTGGGCTAATAATGAGCCACTGTTTCAACAAACAAACAAATTAATTACTAGAATAAAGGAAAATGAAGACAACCCCAGAGAAATGTGGAACATTCCAGGCATGGTGGCACATACCTGTAATACTAGCACTTGGGAGTCTGAAGCAGAAGGATTACTGTAAATTCAAGGCCAGCAAGGGCTATACAGCAAGACCCTTTCTCAAAAAAACCAAAAAAATGAAAAGGGAAAAGAAAGGAAAGTGGGACGCAATTAAGCGTAGTGTGCTGGCCACATACCTGTAATCCCAGCACTTGGGAGAGGAAGGCAGGAACTACAGGACCTCAAAGCTATCCTTGTCTACAATGTCTGGAAATTTATTTATAAAAGTCCAACAAATCTAGCTTTAAAAGTCTACATGTAGGAGAGCCTGACTAAAAGGAGGAAAAATGGATGCTTTTTGTGGTGTTGGAATTGTTCTGCTCCGATTGTGGGGGTGGTTCTAGATTCTGTTAAAATGGCACTCCAAACACATTCTTAGCTAATTTGAAAAAGAATACTGAGCCAGGCTTGGTGGCACATACCTTTAATCCCAGCTCTGGGGAGGCAGAGGCAGGTGGCTCTCTGTGAGTTCAAGGCCAACCTGGTCTACATAGTGAATTCCAGTCCAGCCAGTACTGCATAGTGAGACCCTGTCAAATAAATAAATAAATAAATAAATAAATAGCAAATAAGAATATTGGAAAGTACATATGCAACAGAATTAAATATTAATATCACTATATTCAAAACATCATATATAACAAATGCTCCCCACTTGGTTAAATACCTGGCAGCCAGACGTCATTTCCTCTTTTTTTAAGCAGAGAAAATGTAAATTTATTAAGGAAAAGTGAGAAAGGGCTCTGGAGAATGGGAGGAGTTTCAAGGAAGGAATACCCCAGAAAGATTTCTGTCACTCCTTTTTGTTTTCTGCCACTGCCCTCACTGTCCTCACTTTTTCATATCACATATGACTAACAAAAGCCCACAACTGTTTTCTTAGAGACAAAGTCTTGCTATGTTGTCCAAGCTATCCTTAAACTCATGGCAGTTCTACCCCTGCCTTCCAAATGCTGGGATTACAAGCATGTACCACCACACCTGGCTCAGGAGATTTTAATTTGGCTCTATGATACATAACTATAAGTTGATTTATCCAAGTCTTACACTTCATGACTGCGACCCCAAGTGTCCTGCAAGCTCCTTCTAAGGCTGGCCTCAAACACACAGAGATATCCCTGCCTCTAACTCTAAAGTGCTGGGACTAAAGACATGCATTACTGGGTTGGAGGGATGGTTCCGGTTAAGAACACTGGCTGCTCTTGCAGAGGACCCTGATTCAGTTCCCATCATCCATGTGAAGGCCAACAACTGTCTATAACTCCAGTTCCAGGGGATCCAATGCCCTCTTCTGCCCTCTGTCAGCATTGCACACAAGTGATACATTTATATACACACAGGCAAAATACTTATACAATAAAAATTAATAAGTCAGGGCATGGTGAGATGGCTCATCAGTTAAGAGCACTGATTGTGCTTGCAGAGGACCTGGGTCCAGTTCCTAGCACTAACAAAAGTCTGTAATTCCAGTTCCAGGGGATCCAATTCCCTCTTCTGGTCTCCTCAGACACGGCATGCATGTGATATATTTACATAAATGCAAGCAAAACACTCATACACATAAAAAAATGTTTAAACTAAAATTAAAGGCTGGCAAATGTAGGTTATCTTTTAGGGTTCACTATTTTACTAGAATACCAACAAAATATAGTATAATGAAATTCATAATTTGGAAGTTACTAATAGAGCAGAACATATTCTAGGTAAGTTTTACTTACATTTACAAGTAATCTCCACTAATATTTTATATTTCAGTGTTGTAAAATTGGTTACCTCTATTGCTTCTTTCAAAACTCTAGAGACTTAACTCACCTTCCGATTCATACTCGCCTGCTTTCTGTTTCAAGTCCTCTATGACCAGGTGGACATCCCTGTTCCGGACCCTGTTGCGTTCTGAAAGGTGATATAAAATTTCTGTTGTCCGTGGGTTCACCTCATACTGTGGAATGGGATGATCTCCAAATACTTCTTTCAACCAGGCAGCAATCTAACCATTAAAAGGAAGATTTGTCATCATGAGACTATGACAAGATGTTCCACAGCAAAGTAAATGGTTTCTGAGGGTAGGGGTAGGCGGGTCCTCCTTTACGTCCCGACTAGTCTTACGGTGATATCGGATGACAGGAAACAAGTGAGCAAAAACACAAGAACAATCTTTTCTCTCTCAAAGCTGCAAACGCAGTATATGCTAAAAAAAAAAAAAATGCCTCCCTTGGAAAATCTTAACTAGTGGATGTGCTGGCATGATGGGCTATACATGCACGCTCTGAAAAACTGGCTGTCCAACACGTAGTGACCCCGCGGCGCCAGGAGGCTCCCGGGACCGGCTGCAGCTCGGATGCCGGAATTCTAGATGGAAGCAGCAGTGAACCGCCGAAGTTGGGCAGCGAGGTGGCTCGGAATCCCAACCGGCCTGCCCCGAGGGTAGACACACAGCCGAGTCCCACCCGAAGGAAGGGATGCCCTCCTCCGGACTCCGGCCTACCCGGACAAGGCCGCGTGGAACGGGCGGTCGAGACGGCGGCCACGGCGAGCGTAGAGCCCGACCGACGCGCGGCTCCACAGAGGACCGAGCCCTCGCCGAACCCATTACCTGTGCTTCTCTCTCGCCCGGGGCCTCCATCATTGCCACTCCCGCCACTCCTGGTTCAACACCTCTCGGAGAAGCGCCCGCGCACTAGGCCCCGCCCTTGCCGTTGGGCCCGCCCCCTCTTGCTAAGGAATTCTGGGAGTTGTGGTTTCTATTGATTCCGAGCCTCTGAGCCCTAGGACAAGGCTAACAGAAGACTCTGTCCCTCCAGCTCCTCAAGCCTGACTTTCATGCATCCCTGGCACTGCGCCCTCGGTGGTATAATCAAGACAAGAACGCAGCTAGAACCAAAATGCTTTTTAAATTTTCTTATATATTTCTCGCTTGAATAAAAAAAAAATACCCAGGACTTTCAGTTTTTAGTTAGCTTATGGTGTTGTTTCCAAATGATTGCATAAATTAAAAAATATTTTTTTTTTGTCTTTTTGAGACAGGGTCTCCCTATAGCCCCAGCTGTGCTGGAACTCACTGTGTAGACCAGGCTGGCCTCGAACTCACAAAGATTCACCTGCCTCTGCCTCCCAAGTGCTGGGATTAAAGGCATGTGCTACCACATCCAGCATAAATTTAAATTTTTACCAGGCCTTGTGGTCTTTAATTCCAGCACTTAGGAAGGCTGAGGAAGGATTGAGGTGAGCTCAAGGCCAGCCTGAACTACACAGTGATAGAGTGAGCTCCATATTAGTTTGAACTACAGTGAGAGACTGTCTCAAAGAAACACTTAAAAAGCCATTAGGGTCTGGGGTTCATAGAGCTCAGTTGGAGTTGGTAGAGTGCTTGCCTGATATGCAGGAAGCCCTAGGTTGGATCCCTAGCACAGCACAAACTAGAGGTGGTAATACGCACTTGTAATTTACAGTACTTGGGAAGCGGGAGCAAGAGGATCAGAAGTCTAAGGTCATCCATCCTCAACTACATACAAAGTTCATGGCCAACCTGGGTTACTATAGACTCTGTCTTAAAAAAAAACCCAAAACCTCAAATTTTTAAAAACTATATTTTGGGGCTGGAGAGATGGCTCAGCGGTTAACAACACTGGTTGTTCTTGCAAAAGACCCAGGTTCGAATCCCAGCACCCACATGGCAGCTAACAACTGTTTGTAACTCCAGTTCCAAGCGATCTGAAGGCCTCTTCTGTTCTCCGCGGGCATTGCACGACACGGGTGCACTCACCTACATGCAGGCAATACACTCGTATACACAAAATAAAAAATAAATAAATAAAAATAAAATATAGTTTTTAATATTTTATTATTTATAATTTTATGTGTACGAGCGTATTGTCTGCATGTAGGTGAGTGCACCTGTGTCGTGCAATGCCGTGGAGGACTTTGGATTTCCCTGGAGCTGGAGTTAAGGACGGTTTGTAGCTGCCATGTGGGTGCTAGGAATCGAACCCAGGTCCTCTGCAAGAGCAGTCAGTGCTCTTAACCACTGAGCCATCTCTCCAGCCCCTTTATTTTTATTTTCTATAATATTTAGTGAACACACTTTACCCATTTTCACAGTAAAACACATGGACTGAGTGACTTGACCCAGATTAGGTAACAGATCTAGAACTTGACCATGGTATCTGCCTCCATTTGGGTGTTTCACTCCCTACGCTGCCCCTTGAAATCACCTATAGTGTACTGTGTTACTAGGAAAGCAGATAATTCAAAGAAGGAGCTTTATTCAACTTTCCATGGTGTGATTTTATATGAAATTGTGATTGTTAACAAAATCTATTTTTCCTAGGTCATATGCATATTTAAAACTATTAAATCACCAGGCAGCAAGCACATGCCTGTAATCTAGCACTGAGTAAGGTTAGGAGGATTGTGGATATGAAGCCACCCTGGGCTATACAGAAAGACCCTGTCTCAAAACAACAATAACCAATCAAATAATGACACCACCAAAAAAAGCAACAACAAAAAAAGAAAACTCAAGTTCTCAAGTTCTGCCTAAGCTACAGAGGGAGCTCAAGGTCAGCCTGAGGGACTTAAGCATGATCCTGTCTCAAAATAAAAAGTAGGGCTGGAGAGATGGCTCCGTGATTAAGAGTGCTTACTGCTCTTGTAAAGGATCTGAGTTCAGTTCCCAGCACTCACATCAGGAGACTCACAACTGCCTGTAACTCTAGTTCCAGAGGATTCAATGCCATTTGGCCTCTGCAAGCACCTGTGTGCACATGGATCACATAAACTCACATAAGCACATGTACACTCAAAAAAATTATGTCTTTAAAAAAATTTTTTAATGTAAAAAGGAGTTTGGAGATAAGAGTTCAATGGTTGAGCGCTTGTCTAGCATGCCAGAAGTCCTGGGTTCAATCAAAACAAAGCAAAAAATATCAGAACTGGAGAGATGACTCAGTGGTTAAGAGCACTGACTGCTCTTGTAGAGCACATAGTTTTGAATCTCAGCACCCACATGGTGGCTAACAACCACCCATAACTCCAGTTTTCTCTTCTGACCTCCACAGGCATTGCACGACATGGGTACATTTATATACTCATACACGTGGGGACTGAACCAAAAACCTTATGCACCTACACAGGTGCTTTACTATTGAGATGTGTTCCCAGTCTCTATTTATTTATATAGACAGGGTCTTGCTATTCCCCAGGCTGGCCCTGAATTTGTTATCTTCATACTTTAGCCTTCCCAGTAGAATAGCAGGGAAGCAGGGATTACAGGCCTCAGTCATCAGGTCCAGCCTCCAAAATAAGTTTCTTTTTTTCTTTTCCTTTCTTTCTTTCTTTTTTTTTTCTTTGAGACAGGGTCTCCCTATAGCCCCAGCTGACCTGGAACTTGCTAAGTAGACCAGGCTAGCCTTGAATTCAGAGTAATCTGCCTGCCTCTGTCTCTCTAGTGCTGGGACTAAGGGCATGCACCACCACACCCAGCACAAGTTTCTTTTAGAATGAACCTCAAAGAACTGTGATTCTTTAAACTATCCTATCAAAACTCCTATAAGATGTGGGCATTTTTTAAAAAACCAAATTGAGGACCAGCAAGATGGCTCAGCCAGTAAGTAGTCTTTGTCATCCAAGCCTGAGTTTGATCCATGTAAAGGTGGAAGAAGAGGACTGCTCTCTGTCTTCCACATATGCTCCTTAGCACACGTGTGTCTGTGTTTATATATATTATTTTCACCATATTTAGACTCTCCCCTCCCATTTACAGTTCCTTTCCACCACCACCCTGCCCAAATTCATGCATTCTATTATACGTGTGTGTCGTGTGTGTGTGTGTGTGTTTAGAGGCCTATCAAGTCAAATTTGTGTCCCCAAGTGCCCTTCACTGTGGGTCCATCCACTGGAGCCTGGTCAACTTGCCCAGAGTCACACCCTTAAGGAACTGACTCTACCTCTCCCAGCAGCTATCCTTGCCAACAGTTCCTCTGCTAAGATAGGGTTTTCTTGTCCACTTCCCCACTTCTATGTTGGGATTTCGTCTGTCTTGAGTATTGACTTGAGACTTGTGTATGCTGTCACCACTGCTGTGAGTTCATATGCGTAACTGCGCAGGAGTCTGGAAAACTTTTCTTGTGGTCATTCACCACGTCTGGCTCTTACAACAATTTAAAGACCCCCAAATTGCCCTCAAACTTGGACTCAGGGACTGAGGGGAGGAAAGGTTCCTAAGGACTAAATTGCACCATGGTGCAGGGGTTAACCTGTGGTGACTGCTACAGTCAGGGTAGCCGGTGCAGAAGGGGTAACGCCCACATCACCTGAACTCCTGAACTGCCTGAGAGGCTTCTTCATAGCTTCCGACTCACGTGGTCACCCGGGGCCAACCACAAAGTCGACTAAAAAGACAAAAAGGAAACATATGAATGCGGGGGTGGAAGTCTGCAATAACCGATTCCTACACTTTTAGGTTTAAGCGTTAAAAAATATATATATATATATATATTTTAAAAGAAAAAAATTTAACATGCAAAGAAAAAAAAATTTGCATCCGGAAGAGAAGGCGAGGGGCGGTACTTCCGGGTCAGGAGGGCTGGCCGCATTGACCTTCCTCAGCGTTCCACCATTTTGTACCAGTCGGTCCGAGGCTGCGGCTGCAGAGGACCCACCCGAGGAGAAGCTGAGAGGATGCTGTCCGTGCGCGTTGCCGCAGCCGTGGCCCGCGCCCTCCCTCGGCGGGCGGGACTGGTGAGCGCCCGGCCGCGGCCCGCTGGTCGCCTCGCGGGCTCGAGGTGTCTGCGGTGCAGCGCAGGGCTGGGGCTGGTGGCGCCATCTTGCACCGTGGCTGCTGCGCCGCGCGGCGAAGGGTCAGCTTTGCAGGCTTTCGCCGCGGGGTGCAGCAGGGGAGGCCGTAACCTCGGCGCCCCGGCTGGGGCTCAGGAGGATTTCTGGCTGGGGTGGGGGCCTGGGTGAAGGTCAGGGTCAGTGCGCTGCCGCTCCGGCCTGCTCTGCGGCTTGCTTCCCCTGATGGTCGGGGTCGCGCCCGGCTCAAGGTCAGGTGCTGTCACCTGCCCGGTGCAAGCCAGCCGGGGAGCCTGACATTGCATGAAGGTCGACAGGGCCAGGCGTTTCTCCTTCACTCGGAAGTCAACTCCCAGGAAAGGAGTAAATGAAAGTGTCTTTTGAACAGTTAGATGGTCTCAGTGGTGATAATCGTGAACACATCGCCTAGCTGCAGAAAGGCAGTTTATGCCACAGCGATGGAACCCTTTTGTAAATGGCATGATCTGGCAGAAGACTTGGTGTTTCCTTAACACGTTAACAGATTTTTGTCCTTGAGTTGTCCGCCTCGTGTTTGAAGAATGTTAAACAGTGAGAATCCAAATAGAGACGAACGTCCGTAGCGTTGGGAAATGTCTCTAAGAGGCATTGCCCTTCATGAATTATTTCCCATGAAGTTAAGAGTGTAACCCTTAAAAAAAGTGTGAACCTTTAAGTCCTTCTTAAACATTTGCTTTTTCCTTATAAAATCGATCTGAATTCAGGAAGGTGAAATATACGGGCTATTTTGCTTCCCTAACAAAACACTGGTAACATCCTGGTTTTCGGTTAGCAAAAAAATAGCCATTTGAAAAAGATTGTCATTTGGTTCTTACTAAAAGGTAGTGCCTTAGAATGAACAATGGCCAGTCAACAGTATTGCAAAGTAAAGGGAAGAGG